AAACCAATCACATGATAAGAATGTGATGATGTCATCATGGGGAGAGAAGGCGAGGGAGAGAGCCGACTGTCATCTGCCAGAGTTAGCACCATTCAGCTCTCAGAGAAAGCACATCGAATTCATCAAAAGTACCACAGCGTTTTAGCTCGAAGTCCTCGTTGGTGAAATTATAGCGAAAAAGCATTCCCAACGGCAGAATTAGTGGAAAAAAGGCATTTGTGAAGAGAGTGGAAATGACAGAATATTCCAGAAGACAGCCTGTGCGAACTTTGAGAGATTAAGTTATAACTTATTTATTGCTTCTTATTAAGTGAGTTTATATTAGTGGGACTTGTTTTTATTTAAACAGCATTCTCGTAGAATTTAGACCATTTAGGGAGTAGTTAGCAGTCTGTGAATTGTCAGTTTGTTAGTAATTTTGTTAATTTGTTTATTGTTGGGTTAAATAAATAAATTGTTTCTTGTTACTTGTAAAGTGGAGATCAAGAATTTTCTTTCTAATAAAAACCCTTTCAATAGATTATGAGGGGAAAGGCGAGCTGCTCTGGATGTTTAGGGGGTAATTATTAGATGGGAACCCCTACTCCTGTCATAACAGATCGGGGCTTGTATTTTAGTTTAATTATCAGAGGGGTTCGGCCATTCCTTGTCATAACACCTTATGTCAGTTGTCTCAAGCGAGGGATGTCTGCCGGGCACTGTCCTGTCAGATTCCCTGGAGTTGCAGTGATTGGGTCAGTGAGTTTTCAAAATTGACAGTTGAACGCAAGCAGCTTGTGGGACTATTTCAGCTCACTGTCCATTTCATATCCCAGCTCACAGTAATGATTCTCATTTTCTGGAGAAGTCACTTGTGATCCACATAAAGCTGCCTTTTGTCATAGAAATTTGTGTGTGGGAATGGAGAACAGACGTGAAGCACATGGAGTGGATATAATTATGAGGACTCTGTCACTCTCGGGGATGTGTCTGTGTGTCTCCTTCTGTGGGTGAAAATGAGGATGAGTTCCTTAAGGGAGTATTTACACAGTTTTACCATCTCAAACTTCAGTTCAATTCATTATGTCATTTGAGATTACAGGGACAAGCTGATTGACATTTGCCCTTGAAATGTCAGAGCACACAAGGCTATGGGCCAAATGGTGGAAACTGGGACTAGAATAGATGGAGGTTTGGTGACCGGCATGGACACGAATTGTGTTCTTCCACGCTGTAAAAACTAAAAAACGGTGAAACAGATCTACAGTGAAAATGATCACAAATTAAAATGCAAAGACAGTATCATTGAGAAAATACATGAACACGTCTGTTGTTTTCCCTGGTGGTCTAGTGGTTAGCATTCAGTGCTCTCACTGTTCACAGCCCATGTTCGATTCCTGGTCAGGGAATAGAAGTTCTACGCTGCTAATTTATTGTGGTGACAGCATTTCTGACTGTTTTTTCAGGAGCTGGAAGGTAATCTATTTTATTGCAAACGCTATTCAGATTAACATAAAACAAAGGACTGTGGAAAACCAATACAAAAACAGGAATAGATTGAGAAACTCAGCACATCTGACAGCACCAGTGTAGAGAAATAGAGTTAACATTTCTGGTCCAGTGACTGTTCATAAGTGCAAGGTTTGTTATCAATTTCTATATTACAATGCCAGAGGAAATTATCAGCTCTGTCTGTTGAATCAACATATTTATCAAATTGTGCTCTCTCATTAGCTGACAACTGTCAACTTTACAACCTTAAAGGTATTTCATTGGCTCTAATGCTCCTTCCATTGCCCAGACGTGGTGTGAGGCTGATTAAATGGTTGCGTTTTTCTTTTCCATTGTGTCAGTTAGCAGCCATGTCGAATGGAGAATTGGTCCTTTCAGTGTCTACCTCAATATGTATCTTTATTTGTCTCTCTTTGTTTCTGTATATCCACTTCACCCCCTTTCACATTCTCCGACTCTCCTTCTGTCAAAATCCCTCATTTCCCATTCTTGCTCTGAAATTCGGAGATAATTTAAGAGTGGAGCTGCTGAGAGGCTTTTACCCTGTGGCTGGAGTGTCTAGGACTGGGCTCACATTCCCCGGATAATGTGTCTGTCACTGAGGGCGGAGGTAATAAAATATTTCTTCTCTCAAAAGATTGTGAATCTTTAGAATTCTAAATAGAATTCTCAATCCATCAGAAAAAAATACAATTAAAGGATTGTAGTGATGTCTTTACTGTTTGGTGTAAAATGAGTGAATGGTACAGCGGAGAATGAGGGGGATCAGCTCACTCTGACTGTGCCATTACCACAACATTCCCCGCTAAGTCTGCAATTTATCCTGCTCACCTTGTTATTCCAATCAAACTGGGAATGAAGGGATGAGAATAGAAGAAAAGGAGAAGCAGAAGTCCTTGTGGAACAGCAGAAAGGAACTTCATGATGAATCCATCAGAAAAAGAGAAGTCACTGAAGCAGTCTCCTGAGGACAAATGTGTTTTCTTTGCCAGTAGAATTCACCACTTCACTAAGCAGGGACCATTGAACTGAAGCAGCGACCGTGATTATCTTTGCTGGTTGCTCACCGTGTGAAATTCTTCTTCTCAGTTCTAAAGGGTCATCCCTTTGCTGAGAGCGGTGCCCTCAGATTCGAGTCTCTCCTGCTCGTCGAAACATCTCCATGTCTATCTATCCAGTCCTCTCAGTATTCTGTTAGTTTCAATCACAGAGTCATAGAGTCTGACAGCATGGAAGCAGACCCATTGGTCCAGCCAGTCCATGCTGACCATGTTCCAAAACTAATGTAGTCCCATCTGCCTGCACATTGTCTATATCTCTCTGAACATTTCTTATTTACATATTATCCAAACGTCTTTTAAATGTTGTAAACTGTACCTGTATCCACCACTTCCTCTGGAAGTTCATTCCACGCAGGAACCACACTCTGCAAAAAAAAATGGTTGCCCCTCATGCCTTTTCTCAATCTTTCACCTGTCACCTTAAAAAATATACCCCAAGTCTTGAAATCCCCCACCCGAGGGAAAAGACATCTGCTATTCACCTTCTGTATACTCCTCAAGGGCAGGACTTAAACAATTAATGGTAGGGCGCTGGGTAGTGTTGTACCTCGGTACCTTTGTACCTGAGATGGTGCCACAAGTGGCAACTTGTAAACTTTTCACTGTACTCATGTGAGTACATGTGACAATAAATGTTATTCCATTTGATTAAAAATATGCTTCCCGGTCTTGAAATCCCCACACCGGAGAAAGGACACCTGAATTTCACAAACCTCTATAAGGTCAACCTCAACATGCTACATTCCTGTGAAAGGAGTCCCAGCCCCTCCTTATGACTCAATCCCTCCATTCTCAGCAACATCCCGGTAAACCACCTTTGAATTCTCTCCAGCTTAATAACATCATTGCTCCAACAGGACAACCAGAATTGGACACCTGCAGAAGAGGCCTCACCAATGGCCTGTATGATCTCAACATGACGTCTCAACTTCTCCACACAACAGACTGAGCAATGAAGGTAAGCATACTGAGTGCCTTGTCAACCACCCTGTCTGTATGTGACGCAAATTTCAAAGAATTCGGTAACTAAAGCCTCAAGTCTCTATGGTCTACAATACCCAAGGGTCTGCTTTTAATTGTATAAGTCCTGCATCCCTTGTTTGTTTTAGTACAGTACAGTACCTCACATTTATTCAAATTAAACTCCATCTGCCACTCCTCAGCCCATAGACCCAATTGATTAAGATCTCTTTGAAATCTTAGATAACCTTCTTCACTGTCCACTATGCCACCAATTTTGGTGTCATCCGCAAAGTTATTAACCATGCCTTCTATATTCTCATCGAAATCATTCATATAAATGTCAAACAAAAGTAGACACAATACCAATCCCTGCAGAACGCCACTGGTCATTGCTGAACACCAGGCCTCCAGTCCAAAAAACAACCCTCCACTGCCATAGCCTGTCTTGTGAAAATAAGCAAATTTTTTATCCAACTGGCAAGCTCACCCCAGATCCCATGTAAGCTAACTTTTCAAATTAGTCTACTTTGTGGAACCTTCTCAAGAGCTTTACTAAAGTCCAAGTAAACAATATTTACTGCTCTGCCCTCATCGATCATCTTGGTTACTTCATCAAAATCTCAGTCAAATGTGTAAGACACTATTTCACTTGCATAAAACCATGCTGAAAATCCATAATCAGTCCTTGCCTTTCCAAATGCTATCTTCCAGAATCACCTCCAACAACATATCCACCACCAAAGTCAGACTCACATGCCTATAGTTCACAGGCTTCTCCTTACGTCCCTTAAATGAAGGCACAACATTAGCCACTCTTCAGTCATCTGGCACCTCACCCGTAGGTATAGATGATACAATATTTCTGCAAGCATCCCCACATTTTCTCTTTAACTTTCCACAACACGATGGGATGCACTAGACAGGTTGTAAGATTTAGATTCATAGAGTAATACAGCATGCAAAAAGGCCTTTTTCCCAAACTGGTCCATGCTGGCCATTAAGCTCGTTCCAACTGCTGGATTTGGCCCACTTCCCTCTCAACCCTTCCCATCCATGCACCTGTCCAAATGTATTTTAAATGCTGCTATTGCACCAGCCTCAACCATTTTCTCTAACAGCCCATTCCATACATGCACCACTCTGTGCATGAAGAAGTTACCCCTCAGGTCCTTCTTAAATCTTTCCCCTTTCACCGTAAACCTATGACCTCGCGTTTTCAATTCCCCATCCCTGGGACAAAGCCGATATGCATTCATCCTATCTTTGCCCCTCATGATTTGAGACACCTCAATAAAGTCACTCCCTCATTCTCCTACATTCCAAGGAATAAAGTCCTACCCTGACCAACCTGTCCCTACAATTTGGGCCTACTAGTCCTGGTAACATCCTAGTAAATCTTCGTTGCACACTTTCCAGTTTAACTATGTCTTTCCTGTGACAGCGTGACCAAAACCGTACACAGTATTCCAGTGCAGCCTCACCAATGACTTATACATCTGTAACATCATGTCCCAACACCTATGCACAATGCCTCAACCGATGAAGGCCAGCATGCTAAATGCCTTCTCCTCCACCCTTGTTACCTGTGACACCACTTTCAATGAACTATGTACCTGTTCTCCTCGACCCTCTGTTCCACAACAATCCTCAGGACCTTACCATTTACTGTATAAGTCCTACATTGGTTTGACTTTCCAAAGTGCAACACCTCACACTTATCTGTATTGAATTGCATTTGCCAACCCTCAGCCTACTTCCCCAACTGATCGAGATCCCTTTGTAATTTCTGATAATCTTCCTCTCTCAATACCTACTAATTTTGTATCATCCACAAACTTATTAATCATCCCTGTATATTCACATCCAGATGATTTATGTCAATAACAAATAACAAAGGTCCCAGCACTGACCCCTGTGGCACATCACAGGCTTCCAGTCTGAGAAGTAACCTTCAACCATCACCCTCTGCTTCATACCACTGAGCCAGTTTCGAATCAATTCACTAGCTCTCCCTGGATCCCATGCGACCTAAACTGCATGACTAGACTGCGTGCAGGACCTTGTTAAAAGCCTTATTAAAGTCCACATAGATGAGATCACTGCCGTACTCTTGGTTTCCTCTCAGAAAAAGTCTGAAAGATTTGTCAGACGTGACTTCCCGCGCACAAACCCATCCTGACAATCCCTAATCGGACCTTGACTATCCAAATGTTGGTTGATCCCGTCCCTCAGTATCCTCTCCAATAACTTGCCTACCACTGCTGTCAGGCTCACTGGCCTGTAGTTCCCTGGCATGTCTTTGCTACCTTTCTTTAAACAATGGAACAACATTAGCCACTATCCAGTCTCCTGGAACTTCACCAGTGGCTAAAGCTGAAGCAAAAATCTCTACAAAGACCTCTGCAATTTCTTCCCGAGCCTCCCACAATGTCTGAGGATGGATTTGATCAGGCCCAGGGATTTATCCACCTTAATGCGCTTTAAGGCTGCAAACACCACCTCTCTGAGAATAAGTATGTGGTCCAAAACATCCCCGCTTGTTTCCCGTATTTCCGTAGCATCCACGATTCTCTCCTCACTAAACACTGAGGAGAAATATTTATTTAAAAATCTTGCCCCGTCTTCTGTGCCACAGGATATCCATCTTTATATTTTAGAAGACGTCCATGTGAACTGTTTTCAAAACACACTATTTTTTTCCCTGAATTCTCCAACATCCACTTCTTTCTCCACAGTAAAAACTGATGCAAAGTATTAATATCTTTGTAATATTTCTGTCATCTCCTGAGGTTCAATGCCGAGATGACCTCTTTAATCTCTAGTTGCTCTCTCGTTGCTTTCTTGCTCTTAAAGTACTTGTGGTATATCTTTGCATTATCCGTCACCTTATCTATCAAGGCAATTTCATATCCCCTCCTGCCTTCCTGATCTCCCACTTACGAATGCCTGTACACTGTTTATACTGTTCAAAAGATTCATTTAAACCCAATTGTTTGTATCTAATTGATGATGAGTTTTTTATTCTTGACTAAAAGCTGAATATCCTTTTCATCCATTGTTGTCTAATTCTACCAGCCTTACCTTTCACTCTAACAAGAACATAAAGATTCTGAACTCTCGTTACCACACTTCTGAAAACCTCCCACTTATCAGATGACCCTCTACCTGCAGTCGACTCCATTCAACTTTTGAAAGTTCTTGTCGCATACCATTAAAATTGGCCTTACTCCTATTAAACACTTTTACCTTTTCTGGAAGGCTTATCCTTTTCCATAACTGTTTTAAGACTGACAGAATTATTATCACCAGACCCAAAGTATTCCTGTACAGTCACTTACTGTGCCTTATTACCAAAGAGAACTCAAGTTTTCTCTTTCTCTTTAGTAGGAACAATGACTTATTGATAAAGAAAATATTCTTGAACACATTTAACAAATTATTCACCATCCAAACCTTTAACACTGTAGCAGTTCCAGTCAATGTTTAGAAAATTAAAATCACCGATTCCTACAACCTTCTCATTCTTTCGTATATCTGAGATCTCTCTACGTATTTGTTCCTCAATTTCCTCTGACTAATTAGGAACCCACAGTACAATCCACCACATGATCATTCCTTTCTTATTTCTAATTTCAACCCATATATTTTCACTGGACATTTTTTTTTTCAGAAATATCTTTTCCAGTTGCAGCTGCAATATTTTCCCCAATAAAAAAAAAGCCACTCCCTCACTTCTTTTGCCTCCCTTTGTATCCTTCCTACAGCTTCTGAAACCCGAAACATTAGTATGGGCAAAATATCTTGCATGACGTATAATGTAGGAAAATGTGAAATCATTCACTTTAGCAGGAAGCAGAAACAAGAGCAGAATATTCCTTAAATGGTGAATGACTGCTGAATTCTGAGATGTGGAGGATAAAGTATGAGTTACAAAGTTAGTATGCAGATATAGCATGTAACCATGGTGTCATACAGCATGAAAACAGACCTAATGGTCCAACTATTCCATCCTGACCATATTCCCAAACTAAACTAGTCCCATCTTCCTGCATTTGGCCCACATCACTCCAAACCTTTCGAATTTGTGTACTTATCTAAATCTCTTTTAAACATTGTAACTGTAACTGTACCTGCACCTACCATTTCATCTGGCAGTTCATTCCACACACTGAGCACACTCTATGTAAAAAGAAAAGAAAAGTTACCCCTCATGTCATTTTTAAAATCTTTCTTCTCTCACCGTAAAAAATATGCCCCCTCGTTTTGAACTCATCTATCTGAGGGATAAGACCTTTGCTATTCACCTTATCTAAGCCTCTCGTGCTTTTATAAACCTCTTTCAGGTTACGCCTCAACCTCCTACCTTCCAGTGAATGAAGTCCCAGCCTATCCAGCCTATTTTTACAACTCGAACCCTTCTTACCCAGTAATATCCTGTTTTTATTCTGAACTCACTCCAGTTTAATAATATCCTTCCGATGACGGGACTACCAGAATGGCACACAGTATTCCAGGAGAGTCCTCACCAACATCCTTTACAACCTCCAACATGACGTCCTAACTCCCGTACTCAAAGACCTGAGCAATGAAGACAAGTGTGCTGAATGCCTTCTTAACCACCCTGTCCACCTGTGAAACAAATTTCAATGACTAATGTACCTGAAAGCCTAGGTTCTCTGTTCTGTAATAGTACCCAGGGCCCTACTATTAATTGTCTAAGTCCTGCCCATGTGAAGTATTCCATTTTGGATAAAACAAACATTTATTCAAATAAAGTTCAATCTGCCACTCTTTAGCCCATTGACCCAATTGACTAAGATCTCGGTCTTATCCAGAAAGCCAACAGGCTGTATGCTTTATTATCACAGGAGTTAAACATCAATGTAAGGATGTTCTGCTTCATTTGTACAGGGAAGGGAAGAGACCAAATCTCAAATACCTCGTGCAGGTTTTGGTCGTCTGGACGCTTATCCGAAGTGGTTCAGAGAAAGTTTAGTCGATTGAACCCTGGAATAAGTGGTTTGTCTAAAGAGGATAAGTTGGGCAGGCGAAATGGAATGGGATTAGGCTGGAACTGCTGATTAAAACAGGAAAGTAATATGATGTGAGCCAGGATATAGGGTGTGGTGAAGTAGAATCTCTGTGGGTTGAGCTCAAACGCCAATGGAGAGAAAGTGATATTAGTGTTGTATATAGACCCCAAGCTGCAGTCATACTGGGGAAGGCATTCGAACGGAATTTAGAAATACAAGGCATAAAGTTATGCCTGTAATTATGGGTGACTTCAACCTACATATAAATTGAGCAGATAGCATCAGTAGCAATAAGATAGAGGAGGAATTCTTAGCGTATATATGGTACAATTTTAGGTTGAAAAAGCAGATGAGTATTGGGTAGTGAGAAAGGAATAATTGACAATCGAGTTGAGCATGGGCCCTTAAGGAAGAGTGACCACGACAGGATAGAATTCAACATTAAGATGGAGAGTGATGTCGTTGTTTTTGAGACTAGAGTCCTGTAATTAAATAAAAGAAGTTAGAATGGTACGAGGCATGAGCCAGTTGTGATAAATTGTGGATCACAATTTAAATGGATGATGGGAGATGGGTAATGGCAAACATTGAAAGAGGACGTGGACAAGCTGTGGCATAAAAATAAAATCGAAACATGGTCAAACCATGGCAGAGAAAGAGAAATGAATGGGTATTAAATTTAAGGAAGCAGCATACAAATTGGATAAATAAAACAACAGACCTAAGGATTGGGAACAGTTTAGATTTCAGCAAAGGGAGACAAAGGGATTTAATTAGAGGGAGAAAGTAGAATCTGAGAGTACTCTTGCAGGGACCATAAAACCAACGGCGTTTTTTAAATGGACATTCACAGGATGTGGACATTGCTAACTCGGTCAGAATTTATTGCACATCCCTGATTGCCCAGAGTTAACTGCATTGCAGTGGGGGTGGAGTCACATATACGCCAGACCGGGTAAGGATGACAGTTTCTTTCCCTAAAGGATATTAGTGAGCCAGATGGGTTTTTCCTGACAATCAACAACGGTTTCATGATCATCATTAAACTCTTAATTGAAGATTGATAATCCAAGATTAGTCAAGAAAAATGTCGGGTCTCCTTACAATCAAACAGGGAATTTATAATGGAGTGCAAAGTGATGGCAGACCAATTAAATATATCTTAGATTTTCAAAAAGGGGCACACAAATAATGTCCCAAAATTAAGGGGATCACAGGGTCTAATTGGAAGGTGGAATTGTATAAATTGGGAAAACTAATGAGGTAATAGGCAGATAAATCCCTTGAGATTGATAACTTTCATCTCCGAGTACCTTAGGAAGTGGCCTTAGAATGAGCAGCTGCACTCATGGTTATGCTCCAAAATACTATACAGTCACAAAGAGTTCCGACGGTTTGGAGGGTAGCTAACATAACCCCAGTATTTAAGAAGGAAGTCAGAGAGAAAACATGGAATTTGCATAACATTGTTGGTGGGAAAAAATGTTCGAGTCCACTATAAAAGGTGGGATAACAGACTACTTAGATGATAGTGACAAAATCAGACAGAGTCAGCCGAGGCTTTTTCTGTGCTGTAGGTCTCTGAGACTGGATGTTGGGCATGAATTCCCTCCCAGCCACTCCCCATCCTTACTTGGAAATATATCACTATTCCTTCAGTGTTGCTGGGTCGAAATCCTGAATTCCCTCCCTAACAGCATTGTGGGTCCATTTGCAGCTCATGGAGTACAGTGGTTCACGAAAGCAGATCACTACCACCCTCTCAATGACAACTACATGGATTAGCCAGCAATGCCCACAGGAATAAAGGAAAAAACATTATCAAGGCCAATTGGGAATGTGGAATTGAAGCCTAAATAGATGAGCTTTGACCTTTTTGAGGCTCGAGGGGTATAATGGACAACTCTAGATCCTATTTCATATGTTCTGTTCTTCTTCTATCAAAATGCCTCATCTCACCAAAAATGGTGTATTCCCTGGAAATAAAAGGATGTTAATTGAAGCTGGGTGGGGGGATAAAATGGAACTAATATACCGAGTAGGTGAAGTAGGAGCGCAAACACCATCCTGACCCCCAGTAATCAGACAAGATTTGTGTTTCTTTGTTCTCTGGTTCATTCGAGCATATGAATGAGGAACAAGTGTCGGCCACTCGGCCCTTTGAGCCTGCTCTGAGATTCAATAAGATTAGGGCTGATCTGATTTCGACCTCAACTCTGTGTCTGCGTATCCCTGAATATCTTTCATCATCTCGGTCATCAAGAATCTGTCTGCTTCTGCCTTAAAAAAAAAAGTTTAACGATCTGCAACCACTGCCTTTTGACAAAGGGAGTGACAAAGATTCACAACCCTCTTAGAGAAAAGAAATGTTCCTCACCATTTCAAATGGATTCACCCTTACCTTTAAACAATGACCATCAGTTCTAGATTCTCCCACAAAAGGCACCATGTTTTCAACATCCACGTGGTCGGCTCCCTTTAATATCTTTCAAATTTCAATTTAGTCTCCTCTTTCTTTTCGAGACTCCAGAGGATCCAGGCCCAGCCTGTCCACCCTTTCCCCATTAGGCACTCGACTCATTCTAGGTATTAGTCCATTAAATCTTCTTTGAAATGTTTCCAATGTATTAACAACTTTCTGTAAGTACAGTGACTAGAACTGAACACAGTACTCCAAATGCAAGTCTCACCAGTACAGAGGGGGACCGTGTGTGTCTGAAGGTGGCCCATGAATTCCCACTTGTTTACAGAAATGCTTTTCAGCAAGCTCAGGTCATTTATATTTATCCAAGTACAGGCTGACACAAGTTATGGTCAGACAGTTGTACGGTTTGTATTGTTATACAGACAGCGTTGTTGTGGTATCACTCAAACCTCCCACTCTGCTGGCCCTGCAGAAACGATGACTGGCTCAGTAGCCAGTTCCTGCAGCCTGATTTGTCCTGTATTTTTCATCATCTGTCCTTTCAAGGACATTCATGATCGAGGTGGGTTTTTCTAACAATCCAGAAGCTTTCATTCCACGTTTGAATGTTTTTAAATTTATTTTCTAGGGAATTGGAAAGGATTTACAGACAGGCAGCTCAAGTCAAAAATTGGATCAACAGCTGCCAGTAACACTCAATTCTCGAGTGCTTTGAACGTGGAAGAAAAAAAGCATCGTTCAAGTGAAGAGAAACCATACATGTGGTCTGTGTGAACAAGCCTTCAGTCAATCGTCTGGCCTGTCGATACGTAAATGCAGTCAAAACAGGATGACAACAATGACATCAAGCAGCACTTGCTTTGCAATATCACAGTGATGGATCTCAGTTTGAGTTCAGCAAGGGCCACTCCTGATCTCCTTACATTTTTGGTGCAAACATGGACCAAACAGCTGAATTCCAAATGAGAGTGTGACTTTCCTGCCATCTTAAGGCTCCAGTTGACAGAGCATTGTATCAAGGAATCATAGCAAAACTGGAGTCAACGGGATTCAGAGAATATTATTCTCGCTTTGATTGTGGGTTTTTGAAAAGGTTGCATCTTCAGACCCGAGTAGATCAAAACAAGGTGAATTTATTCAAGCTTGTACCACATATATGCGGAAGAGGTCTCCTAGTCTAGCTTGGAGATACTCTACCACTTGTAGCTCAAAACAGCATATTGAGACGTTTTCACGTCAGGATGGTTGTATGTAACATTGGCGTAAAATAAATTAGATCAGTCATTGACTACAAAACAGGATGCTGTTCAGTTTCTTACAAAGTCCTGAGTCCTCTCATTTCAACGGGTCTTCCATTTCCACGTTATCTTCAGAGTTTCTCTGTCCCTACCATCAGCTCAAAGCACGCAAGCCTTTCTTTGTGAGTGATACTTAAGTGAGTATTTTTAGTTAGTAACTGCTGACGGTTCACTTGTAGATATGCATTTAAACTACCTGAGACGAAATAACTGTCATTACATGGTTGTATTTGACTCTTAGCCCTATGCTGTACTGTTTGTCCAAGCTTATCTCCCACTTGTTCTGTGTTTTCATGCTCCACTGCTTTCCTTTTATATTTTTATATTCCCCTTGTACACTCTCCTATTACCCGAGTTGGATAATACTGAATACAGAGGAAGGTGCTTGTGATTGGTTAGAGGCCAGCTATCTCAACTTCAGAAATTCCTCAGCATCAGTTTCTGGTCCCAAGCACCTTCAGCTGTTTCATCAATGTTCTTCCCTGTGTCATAAGGTCAGAAGTGGATATGTTTGTCAATGATTGCACGATGTTTAGCACCATTTGTGACTCAGCTACTGTCGTGGTAGATATTTAAATGCAGTGTCCCTGGACAACATTGAAGTTAGCCTGCTACGTGACAAAGAACATTTGCACCAAGTCCCAACAGCTCATGACCAAATCTGAGAAATGAAAATCTAACCATAACTATTTGACATTCAATGGTTTTATCTTCACTGAATTGCCCACTATCATCATCCTGGGGTGCTAGTCATGATGAGAAACTGAACTGGGCGTGATATTTAAATATTGTGCCTACAAAAGTAGGTCAGAGGGAAAAGATTCTATCGTGATCAGTTCAACTCATGACTCCCCAAAGCCTGTGCATCATTTAAGAATGTCTGTCATTAAGAACACTGTCAATTTGCTTGGATGGATGCAGCTCCAATGACACCAAGAAACCTGACACCATCCAAGACAATGCAGTCCACTTAACTGGTGCCCCATTCAGTACTTTCAGCATTTATTCCCTTCATTTACTGAGGTACAGTGGCAGCAGAGTGCACTATCTACCAAATGCCCTGCAGTTACTCACCCACTCTCCTTTGACAGCACTTTCCAAGCCTGCAAGCTCTTACCACCCTGAAGGACAAGAGCAGAGAATGCATCAAAACAACACCATCTGCAAGTTCTCCTCCAGGGTGCGTACCATCCTGACTTGGAGCAGTATCAGTAATGATCTCATTCAGTGGTGCAGTGAACTTGACGGGCCAAAAAGCCTGTTTCTGCCCTGGATCTTCTATCATGATTTTTTTTTAAAAAAAGTTGACTAACGCAATGACCAGACTTGTGCTTGGTCTTCCAGCTGTTCTCTGAACTGGTGTTAGCGAAAGCTCCAGCATCAACTTCCTGATCTTATATTCCAGCCTGTGGTCGAGAACAGAAAGTATCCCAAAACCCTCTTGACCATGTGATTGTCCTGTCCAACCACCTTCAGGAATTTGTGAATGTCCACTTCAAGGTGTCTTTGTTCCTCTATACCACTCAGCGTCCCCACTTCCATTGTTCACTCTCTCTGAATTCATTATGAATCTCTTTGGATTGAATTCCGTTCATCATTCTTTTCTTTCCACCTGATTGATATCTCCCTGCAATCCCAGGCTTTGTTCCTTATGGTTCGCTACATCACGCATTGTTGCGTGTTGTCTGCAAACTTCTAAATTATGGCCCATACAACTCGGTTTTAATCATTGATCTACATCAGACAACAATGGAACTCCACTGGAAAAAGCAGAAACAAATAAAAAACAGAAATTGCTGGAAAAACTGCACAGAATTGGCAGTATCTGTGGAGAGAAATCAAAGGTAACATTTCAAGTCGAGTGACCCTCAGAACTCCACTGGAAAGTCATCCAGACATGGTTCATTCCTGGTCGGGATTAACAAAAAAATCTGACCCCTACTGTCATATGTGAATTTGCTGATGTCTCCGGAGGTTGTTTCTCTGAGTTATCTGTTCCCACACATGGCATTTCTGATCAGCATCTCCCCAGTGTCACTGAGTAAATGAGTTTCCACCTCAGTGGGTAACTGAATCCTTCCCTCAGTCCCCACGTTTCCCTGGTTTCTCTGTGGTGTGGGTGTTCTTGTGTCTATCCAGGTTGGGCAATCAGGTGAATTCAAGTCCACGCAGGACCAAGGCCTGTTCTTGCCTGCTGTGAATGTGTTTTCATTCTTTCTTGTTCTCCCACGGGATGTGGGGAGCACTGGTCAGGACAGCATTTGTTGTTCATCCTGAATTCACCTTGAACTGATGTCAGAGGACAGTTTGGGGTCAACCATGTTGTTGTGGGCTTGGAGTCACTTGTATGCCAGACCAGGTAAGGACCTCCCTCCCAAGGGGACATGAAGGACTGGGATTTCAGGAAATTAAAGTCATGGTTTTGTTCGTGAAATCAGATTTATATTCCAGATTTTATTCATTTGAGTGTAAACTCCAGCAGCTGACATGGTCACTCCCTAGGGATTACTGGGAGATATATCACCACTACACTGCTATCTCCCCGCTGTATTGCTTCATTGTAGAGAATAACTGTCACTGTTCAGATCATCCCAGAGTAACAGAGAACAGGAGAAGGCCATTCAGACCATCATGCCAGTGTTAGTTCCATTTAAGAAAGGATTGAGTGAAGGGGAAAAGTATCAGCTGGTGTGTGTTTGTAATATTTACAGTGTGTGTCCATGCTGGAATAAATGCGGTTTACTGCAGATCGAATTGTTGACTGGGAGCAAGAAGCTGATGCGGAGACAGTTGTGAGCAAAGCTCGCTTAAACACTACTACTCAGGTAACAAACATCAGTTTGTTGTGTAAATAGCAGGGATGGTTTCAATCCATGATCTCTCGGTTATGGGCCCAGCATACTCCCGCTGTGCCACTATGCTATTATCTATCATGCAACCCACAACTGAAATAGATTGTAACTTCCTTCTTGCTTTTGAATAGGAACACACTTGGTGGCACACCTTCCTGCTTGTACAATTCCAATGTGTCACGCCAACCAGAATGTGACAGACAGAAACAGACACACACACACACACACACACACACACACACACAAACAGCAACGTATCATGAACATACACAGTGTCAGACAAAGGGGTTGAGCAGTCCAGCAACTCATTCAGAGGGACGGACTCATGATTTTTCTGAACTTTTGGTAAAGGCTCATCCAGCAGTTACATTCCTCATTGTAAAAAATTCTGAAGAAGTGTCTCTGAACCGGAAACATGAACTCTGCTTTCGCTCCATAGATGCTGTCAGACTTACTGAGTTTCTCCAGAAATCTCTGTTTTTGTTACATTCCTAATTTTTGTTTGTATGTGGATGGTAACATTCCCCTGATCATGTACATTGACATTTAAATTCATCTGAAGGCTATCATTCGCCATTCTGTCTTTATCATCCTGTTCTCGCCCTTCTGCCTTCCAAAATCACAAAATCCTTTCTCTGTGGCGACAAGCACATGAAAAATTGCCTGGTTCTGATGAAAAGGTCGTGGATACGGAATAGGAATTCTGTTTTAAAAGACACACAGACAAACATACAAACAATGAATTTAACAGGCGGGGGCAATCTGTCAGGTGACCGAGGAGTAATCTCGAATTTGATTGATAATTGTGACATTTCCCCGCGACAGATCATGATCCAACAAAAGAAGCTAGTCTTTTTTTAACAAATTCCATGCTGACTAACATTGCTCTGTACAGCCTGATGCCCCAATAATCCCTGCTCCATGTCAATAAAAGCTGCTCTGGGTGAGGTTGGAGCTCATAGCCTCGGTGTTTCACGTGCCTCTGTACCGTCACAGAAGGACCCCGCGCTCACCGATTGTGTCACTAGAGCCGCAGAGATAGTAGGAACTGCAGATGCTGAAGAATCTGAGCTAACAAGCTGTAGAGCTGGATGCACACAGCAGGCCAAGCAGCATCAGAGGAGCAGGAAGGCTGACGTTTCCAGCCTGGACCCTTCTTCAGAAATGGGGGAGGGGAAGGGGATTCAGAAATAAATAGAGAGGGGGACGCGGATGGAAGGTGGATAAAGGAGCAGATAGGTGGAGAGGAGATGGACAGGTCAAGGAGGCGGGAATGGAGCCAGTAAAGGTGAGTGTCGGTGGAGAGTTAGGATGGGAGTTGGTCAGTCTAGGGAAGAAGGACAGGTCAAGGAGGCGGGGATGAGGCTGGTAGGTAGGAGGTGGGGATGGGGGTTTGGCCAGTGAGGTGGGAGGAGCGGATAGGTGGGAGAAAAGACGGACAGGTCAAGGAGGCGGGGACGAGCTGGGCTGGTTTTGGAATGAAGTTGGTGGTAGGGAGATTTTGAAGCTTGTGAAGTCCACATTGAGACCATTGGGCTGCAGGATTCCCAAGCGAATTATGTAGTGCTGTTCCTGCAACCTTCGGGCGGCATGGTTGTGGCACTGGAGGAGGCCCAGGATGGACATGTCATCCAAGGAGTGGGAGGGGGAGTTGAAGTGGTTCGCGACTGGGAGGTATAATCGTTTGTCACGAACCGAGCGTAGGTGTTCCACGAAGTGGTCTCCAAGCCTACGCTTGGTTTCCCCGATGTAGAGGAGGCCACAACGGGAACAGCAGATACAATATACCACATTAGCAGATGTGCGGGTGAACATCTGTTTTATGTGGAAGGTTTTCTTGGGGCCTGGGATGAGGGTGAGTGGGGAGTGTAGGGGCAGGTGTAGCACTCCCTGCGGTTGCAGGGAAAAGTGCCAGGGGTGGTGGGGCTAGTGGGGAGTGTGGAGCAGACAAGGGAGTCACGGAGAGAGCGGTCCCTCCAGAAGGCAGATAAGGGTGGGGAGGAAGAAATGTCCTTGGTAGTGGGGTCAGATTGCAGGTGGCGGAAGTGGCAGAGGATGATGCGTTGAATCCAAGGTTGGTGATGTGGTACGTGGTCCTTGGCCAGTCTGTCTCCTCTCCACCTATCTGCTCCTTTATCCACCTTCC